TCCTTCCTTCCTTCCTTCCTTCCTTCCTTCCTTCCTTCCTTCCTTCCTTTCCTTCCTCTCTACCTCCCTCCCTCTCCTCTCCCTTCCCTCTCCCTCCCTCTCTCTCTCTCCCTTTCTTTCTTTCACAAAGAAAGCTGAAGGGTCAGAGTTGACCTGTGTACCATTTCATCCAAGATTTTACTTTAGGCATTGTCCTATGCCTACTTTGTTTCACAACCTAGCTATAGTCTTAAAAAGCTACTTATAAAAACTGAGCTTTAACACACTAGAACTCTTTTACAAATAAAAGAGGCCCAAAATTGTTTAAAAGCTGAGTCCTTTAGTAATACTAGCAATTACTATCCAGATACACCCTGGATATATTTTTTCAAATCAATCTGTTTGGAGAATTCCCCCATGTTTCTGTACATGGCGGAATTCTGCTGTTTTAGCCCGTCTAGGTTTAAGCAAATTTTATACAATTATAGAGAATAAGAGAATGATCCATAATTACTTAGAATGACGTCTCTAAATGTGAACTTCTGGGTCAGTTAGGTAAAAGTTTTGGGAAAAGGTTTTGTTTTGGATTTCCTTAACAGCCTTCCCATAGTCCTGGCTCTTGTCCTATCTATTTCTACACTACATTGTGACCACATCTGGGTAAATAATTTGCACTTAATAGTCAACGTGTTAGCTCTTAAGCTTACCACATTCTTAAAAGAGTATATAGGAGCAGGAGATTCATGATGAGAACTATGTTCAGTCTGGTATGAAAATACATGTGTGTAGTGACATGCATTAATAAAGATGGAACGCTGATGGCTCACTGCAAGGCTGAGAAAGCAGCACTTTTTGCTCCCACGCAGTGTTGCTCATAACCAACATCAGTCCCTGCCTTATTCCTCACTTCCAGCCACTTCTGCTGGACTTCTCCAAGGTTCCTAACAGCTCAGCCAAAAACAAAAGCTTGGATGTCAAACATTCTGCAAACACACCGGTCACCTATTGAGAAAATCCCTGCAAATGACCTTCTCCAGGGATAAGCTACACAGGGTGTTTGAAGGAAAATTCTGCTTTAAGCATCCTCAGGTATATACAAATGTGCAAGAATGAAGGGAATCTTAATTTGGGAAATGAGCTGCAGAAATCACATGCAAGGCTTCGAAAACTGAAGCCAGAGTCTTTCAAAACTGTTAGTCTTTCTTTACACATTTATTTAATTTACCACAATTTTACTTTTAGTATATTCAGGGCTTTTCCACTTCAGTAACCAGTCATTTAAATCAACCCTTCCTACTGCCAGCAAATGTTGGCACAGGAAGAAAGAATGCAGAGTGAAAATAGAGCTCACCTCTTCTGATAGACTGGATGTATCGTGCATAAAAGCCGTAACGCACATGGTTCAGGCCTGGAACACTTCCCTCTGACCACTGAAGGCGCATGATCTGCAAAAGTAATCACAAAATGACTTGGATCTCTTCATACACTTTGTTATGGTGTTATGAACATTTAAGATGAGATCCACCCTCAATAAATTTTTAAGTGTAAATATAGTAATGTTGACCATAGGTACACTGCGTACAGCAGAGCTCTAGTAATTCCTCACTTCTGGAAAACACGCGTCACAACCACAAGGAGGTACAACTCATACCTCTCAGGTTGGCTGTGATCAAAAAGACCAAAGGCATGTGCTGATGAGGATATGCAGAAACCAGAACGCTTTGCACTGTGCGTAAGAATGCAAACTGGTGCAGCCACTGGAGAAAACCCTGTGGAAGTTCCTCAAAAACTGGAAAGGGAGCCACCAAGTGAAAAAGCAATCTTATTTCTGGATATTTATCCAAAATAATTGAAATCAGGGTCTTGAAGAGGTATTGGATGTTCATCCCCGCATTACTCACACTATGCAAGGTGCAGAGACAACCTAAACCCCCATCAACAGGTGAATGTATAAAGAAAATGTGATATATACTATGTTCTGAGTATATATATGTATAAAATAGAATGTGTTCATATACTTTTAAAACACCTACTATTGTGACCTTTACTCTCTCCTCCTTAATACACCTTTAAAAAGCCCCCAGCCCTATAAAACTACATACAAATCATAATTCTAGGTAGCAATGAGAAAAGATACTGGGGGAAGAGACTATTGTCATTGTCATCATCATCATCATCATTGTTTTCATTGTACCTCTATTGTCCTCCTCCCCTTGCACTTTTCAAAGACACTTCAGTGAAAAATGAGGGAAGAAGCAAGATTAAGAGAGGTACAACATTTTCTTTAAAGCTCCTGATGAGATGGGAGAGAACAATTTTGGAAATCTCAGTCATTTCTATCCAGCACACTAAATTAAATAAAATGCAATACTTACCTCATATGTTGTTTTCTTTTTAAAGCCATGTTTTCAACTTTCCTCTAGCTCTAGCAACAAATTACCTGTAAGCATAACACCCACATGTACAGAGATTCTTTTTAATTTCTACTTCCATTTAAGTACTCGTGTCTAGGACTTAGCAACAATTACTCAAATTTAGTGCTGACCTATCAAGAAATTTCTATGAGTTTGAGCTTAGAAAATAGAGATAAGGGCAGTATGGGTTTCCTTTTCATCAAAGTGCTGGTAGTTGTGTTAAGAATACTATTGGAACATTTATTTTAATAGCTTTTCATTTCCTGTTTCAGTTTGTAATACCTATGGGACTTGGGAAATAAGTGCTATTCTAGATAAATTTCATTTGGTAAACATTGATTCCTTTGCTCTTATTCTGATTGGAGCTGAAATACATTGTTCTCCTTCCCTATTTTATTTCCCCAGCACCCCAGATGGATGTCCTGTCTGACCTGTGGCTATTGGTCACGATGTGCTCTCAGCACAATCCCTGACTCTCACTTTCCTACTACAGGGGAGGAATTTTTCCAGGGTAAAAATGAGGGCTCATCTTACCTCCTTTTGCATGGAAAACAAACAAATCTAATGTAGGAAAGAGGAAAACAAACCTTTTGAGGGAACAGTATTTGTTCAACTGTATAGATCAATTTTCTGATACATCTTCCTTCATATCATAGATTGGCTAACTCCATGGCCTTGAACAAGTGATGTCATTTCGCCAGACCAGTTCCTGCATCTGTAAAATGGAATTAATAATAGTACTGTCTTCAGAGCACTATTGTGAGGATTCAGTAAACACTGCTTAATGAATAGAAATTTAGGCAAAATCTTATTACCTCGATACCTATGCATTCAGCCTAGAGCATGGTACTAGAAAAAAAAAAAAAAAGAAACAGCAAGACATAGCACTGGAATAGCATTGGAAGAAAGAGAGAGAGACACAGAGACAGACAGACACAGAGAGAGAGAGTGAGAGAAAGAGAGAAAGAGAGAGAGATGCTAGTGATATATTGTCTTGGAAATGCATGAAGAATAATAATGCATACATAATAATTTAAAAAAGAATAATGCACAGTTCACATTCACTGTGCATGTTGAGGATGAGTTAAAGTACATAAGAGTTCATCATATTATTTTTTTTCTTTACTGGGTAAGTTTGAGATATTGCACAATTAAAATATTAAAGAAAACCAAATTCTTGATATGTAGGCCCCTACAACTGTGGGAGAAGCAGGAAATCTGCATGAGCTTAATTTTTCTTCTCTACATATATTTTTTTAAATTTTTATCTAGAAATAGCCTATCCTCATTCTTGCTTTTATTTTTGCCAGGACATGCTGCTGGGTATGTGTTTTTTGAGCAGCTCTGAGAATATGCTTGGCAGTAGTATTTCCCCTTAGAGAAGGGGGAGGCAGAGGGCAAGAGAAGGCTCCCAAATCCCCCAGGGAAGAGGGTCTCCCAAAATTTCAACATAAAAACTGCCATAGGCTTATAGGAGATAGCAAATTACCTCTCCTGTTTTTTGGGGATCCTTGGCCTAAAGGAAGCCAAGGAAACTGACTCACTGAGAAATAATGCATGGCATCCAAGGAGGCCATCTGGAGCTACTGTAGTAGAAAAGGCTGTGTTGAGAAGATTAATATGACAGCAACTTCCCCTTCTTTCCTGGAGTTAGCTTCTGACCTTCTGTTCATCTTCTTTAGCCTAAGGTACAGGGCACCATAGGCCTGAGAAGCTTCAAGGGGCTTGTCTGAACACGAGGCGTTATCAGTATTAGGTCACAGTGTCTGAATAAGTGGATGTTTCCATGTCAGTCAACCTGAGATTTAGACTTTTTTGATTAGGAAAAAGCCAGAAAGTGTCTCACTGTGTGGTTAATGGTTTGTTTGATGTCTGTCTTCATTAAGAACAATTAGGAGAAGAAATTTTATGACCCTCTTTTTCAAGGCTTTGGACAAAGGCTTCCAGGGAAAGATAGATGAAAATGAGGCTGAACATGTCTTGATCGGAACAAAGAATAATGTACTAATCATCTACCAATAAGTCACAGATTACCCCAAAACTGAGTAACTTAAACAAGAGTAACTTTCTTGAAGTTTCTTTGGAACCATAATCTGAGTGTGGCTAATGTGGGACCCTCTCGTTCAGGATCTCTCATAAGGTTAAGATCCAGCTGTGGACTGAGCTACCAGCATCTCAGGATTCACCGGAAGAAGGTCCCCTTCCAAGTTCATCATATGGCAGTTGTCAGGATTGAGTTCTTCACGGGCAGCCCATCACGGACATCAGTGAAAGAATTCCAGGGACTGGTTTTGTTAATATTTTTCTTGCCTTTTACTTTTGATGGGATGTAACCCACAAATTTTTCATAAATTAAACTAATATCTGTCTATCTGGAGAACACACACTTTCAAAGTGCCTCCGTGTGGCCCTGGCATCTGTCACCTAGCCAACCCTCAACTTACCCATCACCTCCCAACATCAGTGAACTTAACATTGCTTTCCCAAACAAAACCATGTGTAACATAAAATGATATAATTAAGATTCTGTGATTATTTGTGTTATAATGTTTCATGGGCAGTACGGTTTATGGAAAATAAAGCAAAAAAAAAAAATCAAACCTCAAACACGAAATAAGGAAATGTGAGTTCAATGCCCTTGATACCAAAAGGAAACTGAGCTAAGGTCACCTTCTCTTTCTGAATCTCAGATTCTTCATCTCCCAAATGTGGGACCAGATTGCCCAGTTCCCTTGGGGTTCAGAGGGCAATACCTTCTTTCATTCCAGATTTAAAGGGCTCCTGCTTCCCACCACCATCTCATCATGATGTACCCCTTCAAATACTTTCAATATTCAGAAGTCATATTCCAGTCAGAGCACAGGTAGGTAGAGCCATCTTCTAGCTCAGTAGATGGTGAGCACTAAGTGTCCACACATACGACCTAGTCTCTAGGAACATTGCTTTTCAGCTCTGGGGGATGTTCTCCATTGTCTCTGGGTCCTATACATGTGCTGAATCACCACTACTTGTGCTGAATCTCTTTCCCCAGAAATACAGACTTCACCAGATTCTCCTGGAATCTGGCAATAATATCCTCCATTGACACAGTAAATGCTCAGCAAGGGTTTGTAGACACATTTAAAAATAAACAAATAAAAATAAGTGGATGAGTGTCAGAGGGACAGGCTTCCTTCCAATTAATGTCCCCCACCCTGGTTTTAGAAGAGCACATGAAGACATTTCATGATTTGAAAGGGGTCAGTACCCAGGACTGAAGGATGGTACCATTCACCCAAATGCACTGATAACAGATTTTAGTTTTAGTAAACTAAAGATGAGTAGATGGATGTGTTCAATGACTAAAACAATCATAACAACTTGGATCACCTGGTGGCTCAGTCAGTTAAGCATCCAGCTCTTGATTTCGGCTCAGGTAGCCTGGAATGGAGCCCTGCCTTGCACTCCACACTCAGAGGGGGGTCTGTTTGAGATTCTCTCCCTCTCCCTCTGCCCGCCTCCCCACTCTCTCTCACATAAATAAATAAATCTTAAAAAAAAAAAAAAACACAATAATAATAACTCTGCGTCCTTGCCTTTTGTCCAAATCTGCAAAGATAAAAGACTCAAAAGAGTAAGGCTAAGCTTTGCATATTACCCTTTCCTCCAAGTTCTTTTCTGTTTCTTTCACCTTTTATAAGGGAAGAACCAATCCCTCAACCTGTTTTTTCGTTTTTTCCCCAAATTACCAAAGGCTGATAGGAACACCAGAAAAAGATACCTGCATTTTACCATAGAAGCTTCCCTTCCCTGAATAAGCCTTTTTCCTTTCTTTTTCTATGGAGACTTGAGATAATCCTGTGGCACTTCCCCTGGAAGGAAAAAATCAGATCCAACCCTTGTTGTTGCCCCAGCCCTCTCCATCACTTATTTTCCTGATTCACAGAGGAAGAGAGAACCTTGAACTACACTTTGCACACCAAATACCTACCTGTTTAAGGAAAGAAACACTTAAGTCAATAGAACTAACATTATGAAATTTAGGAAATGAAACAAGATTGAGGTTTTGCACAAGGACCAAAAAGGTCAGGGTGAGGATTCTAGCCGGTAAGGCCCATGTTCTTTAAGACCGTCTGTCCTGCTACAGGAAGGGAGTAGAGCCAGTGTTTTGAGGATTTTCTCCACAGAGACATCCAGCACATTTCAGAGCTTAGACGGGCCACTGTTCTCCTCTCATGGTGGCAGCTGTCTCAATGGAAAGAGTACTGGCTAACCAAGCCATCCATTCAGCTTATGAAACGAGTGCAAAGAATGGAAAGGGAATGCATGCCTGTCTTAATGGATTGCTCTGAGGATGAAGTGACATGACATGAATGCACTTTGTAAATGATGGGAGGAGATAAATGGGAGGAGTGCTCTAACGGTTTTTGGTTTACATCGTTATCAGCACGGAGAACTGACTGTGTGCCAGGTCCTGTGTTAGGGAGTGTTAGCAGAAGTCAGGGAGAAGTTAGGGAGAACTTAGGCAGATGTTAGACACCTCACTCACCTAACCTTCCCCCAAACCTTAGGGGACATGTATTCTAACACTTATGCTACAAATAGAGGAACTGAGGTCCAGAAAGTCTAGGAGACTTAACCTTGTTCTAGGTTGTTACGTGGCAACGTGGGGCCTCACACTCAACTCTCTGACTCCAAAGTTTAAATTCCCCAATAATTCATCTCTTTCCTTTGCCCTTATTTATCTTACATGTAACACATACAGAATAAGAGACAACCTTTGGCACAAAATCTCTACTTCCAGCCAAGTTTTAACGAATACCCCTACCAAATCTTGGAGAGTGACTGCCAACGAATCTGTGATTGGGTCTCAGCCATCAACAAAGCCTGTCGTCCGTGCTGAGATGGGGACTTAGGCATATGACTCAGGAAGGGAGCAGCGAGTTGAGCCAAAAGGTAACATTTTATGTAGTTCCTTTGTGGGTTGTAACTGCATTCCCTTTAATGCCCTTTGATTTCTCACTCTCAAGTGTGGGGGTGAGAAAAGAATTAATTATAGTGAGCCAACACTCCTGCCCACGACAGAAAGCTGCTCATAAACTGTCGGCTAGGGATAGATGTTCCTATAAAAAAATGGAATGAGAGGCCATTCCTCCCCTAGAAAAGGCTGAGAATAGGCCTTGCTCTACTTGTGTTGAGAGATGCTGAGACTATTCAAAAGGTTTTCTTTCTTTTCTTACCAGGGGCCGCATCCCTTGAAGTGACAAGATCGTCTCTCTCCTGTTCTGAGACACCTGCTCATGTACGTGTATGGCCTCACATGCACAGATCCAGATACAAGCGTGACATGTGCGTGGACTCAGACACATGCAGACAGATAGACAGACAGACACACACACACCCCCCCCCAAACGAAGAGAGAAGCAATCAAGCCTTAGAGCTGGCTCTGAATCTGAGAGATTGCCCCTCAGACTTCAGGCCTGCCATGCGTTATCTGGAAAACTTACATTTCTTTCCTTTCCTCTCCGAGATTCAGTTTTGCAGAGCTATAAAGTAGGTGTAATGCTACCTCTTTAAGGGATTGTAGTACAAAGTGAGTTAAGGGATACAATGCATGAGAAAATAACTTCATACAGGAACCTGATGTGCAGTAAACACCAAGGAAATCCTTC